CTATTGCTTCTAGGAGGCACGCACTCAACGCTGCTGCAGCTACACGCTATTTTTAGAATGCTAGCTCAATCAGGGCAAATCTGGGTAGGTCTCCTCCCAGCAGGCCTGCCAAGGGGGGGCAAAAGGGACAAGTGCCCTGGGACGCCTAGCTGCTACTGCGACAGTGGCAACAACTGATTTTCAGGCCCTTTAAATTGCTGCTGGAGCCCCGGGCAGTGTGCTCCAGGTGGTGCTGAAGGGCTCACAGGGAAAGGCTTGCCCATAGGTCTACCCCTTCTGCCTGAGGTCCCACCCCTTCCAGTAGCACAGAGCCAAGCCCCCCACCTTGCCCAGGGGTCTGGCAATTGTCGGCCCCCTGGCTTCTAGCTGGGAATTACACCTCTGGCTCAAAGCATAGTCCAACCCACTGAGGGTATCAGTTATGTAGATGTGACACTTAATGGGATGAGCTGCCTCTGTGCAGAACGTCCTGGAAAGGGGTACAGCAATTAACCAGCAGACTTGCAAGCATAAATGAATTAGCTGGACTCTTGCAACAGCAACTGTGGAAAGAGATACACAGCCTCGGAGCTCATCTCAGTGCCTAGCTCCTCACATCTGCTGCTGCTGAGCAACAAGAAAGTGATCCAGAAGCACACTACTTGGGATTTCACTCACTAGCTCCCCTCCTGGTAGGTTCATGGATGAGAGAAGCAAGACTGAATCCAGCCGGGCATTGGTCTCCACCTTCCATCGTTTCTGTTGAACCTGAGACGGAGGTGAGAGAAATTCCTCTCTTTGTTATTTTGAAACATCAAGCATGTTCTGATCAGTGGAGCAGGACTTTCTATGGCCTGTATGACCACAGTCCCCAGCAATCCACACCAACCAAAGAACTTCATAGAGAAATGAAGGGGTATAAGTGATGAGATTTGTTCTGTTCTCTAAGTGAGAATACCGCACCTGGTACATACATCCACTAAGAACATTAACAGGGAGTCTCAAGCATAGATGTAGTACATAAAACCACTTTTAAATTAATTTTTAGACCCAACTTAGGGTACGTCTATACTGCATGACTATTTCAGGATACTGGAGGTATCCCAAAATAGCTACCCCGCATCTACACAAGCTGCCCATTATTTTGAAATATTTTTTCAAAATAACGGGCACATAATTTTCACCATCCTGTTGCACGAGGGTTAAGGGATGGCTCAAAATAGTGCATTATTTTGAAATCTGGTGCTGTGTAGATGCACCAAATTTCAAAATAAACTATTTCAAAATAGATTCGAGATAAGATACGCAATTTGCATAGCACAAATTGCGTATCTTATTTCGAGTTTAGGGTGCTATGTAGATGCACCCTTAGGGATGCTAGCGTGTAGTCATTTACACAACTGATAAACCTAGGATTATCGGTTTAATCCTAATGACTACATGCACACACATCCCTTACTGCCTGTATCAGAGGTAGGAAGGGGGGGATGTGGGATCTGGTGCCCCTGGGGAACTGGCTCCTGCCCTGCCCCAGCCTGCAAATGTGTATTCACTGAAAATTTCAGCAGACACGTGTTTACACAAATAAATGCATTTGAACATCCCTACTCCAACTAAATGTTACATTACCAGTGCACCTTTAGTCAAAGAAGCTAGTATCATCTCCATTCTACAGATAGGTAGTGACTGCCTTAAGAACTCAGAATGTCACAGCCTGGAGTAGAAATCAGGATCTTAAAATAGGAAAGTCCCAATTCAGTACGGTGCTAAATTCCCTCAATACCCAGTGGCAGGCCCTAAAAAGCCTGGATGCAAAAGTGCTGGGTGCACTAGAAACATCATAAATCAGATATAGATGCACCAATGACCGTCCTCTGTTGTCACTATGAAACCGTACTTCTCACTAACCCTCTTTTGTTTTAAATGTCAGGCAAGTGTAATTCTAGTTTTAGTACATTGTCAGGGAAAACGAGTCTTCCACAAGGAACAGCAGCCAGGATCTCCTTCGTCTTACCTCTGTGATTCTCCCAACCACAATGTCACCAACTTCCCCGTTATATCTGGGAGCAAGAGAAAAAGGGAAATTCTATTCAAGCAAACCTCTTCCCGGAGTAGCTCAGATACTGCTTGACTTGGGTACTCGTATCAGCATGACACTGATTAAAAACACAAGCAGGGCCAAGCTGGCAAGAGTCACAGCACTGGAGTCTGTGCAAACTGCAGCATCAACGTTTCCAGTACTAACATTTATTATTTATAACTGGGCTCAAAACAGGAGTTAGTGGATGAAATGTTCTGACCTACGTTACACAAGTCAGATTAGATGGTCCAATGGACCCTTCTGGTCTGACAATCCAGGAATAATATGGTTACACAATCCACTGATCTGGTGTAGATAGAAGCATTGATCTGATAGAGTTTGACAAATTCTACATTCACCCCCAACCCATTTCCAAATGTCTCCCACTGTTGGACACACACTGAGACCATCTGTTGGCTTATGCCCTGTTTCTCTAAGTCTTTAAGTGGGAAACACATTGCTAGGAATTGGAATATCCCACACAGAGGGAACATTTGATTTTTAAATAGGTTCAAAAAATGGCTTTGGTCTCAAAGCCTGTTCTCACCTGGTTTTCAGAGCTTTGACACAGATCAGTTTGTTCACTCTCTCAACAGCGCCTGCGACAGATGCTATAAGTTTCTCATCTCCCATATACGTGCCATGGCCCCTGCCGTAAAAGGATACATCAAACATCCACACACATCTGCCATCTCTACCACCCTGGGGTTAGCCAATCCATGCTTTCACACCCCAGGCTTAAAGTAGCCCCAGAGTTATTAGGAGAAAAGAGTTCCCAAGCTCTCTGAAATTAAAACAGGAAAGAGAAAGGAAGCTATTTCTCCACCACGGGAGGGATGAGATCTGTCTCTCTCTTCCCCATTCCCAGTGAAGGGTTTGTGAAATAAAGATACTTTCATGTGGTGACACCGCTTAGCCTCCTTCCTCAGGTACACAAATGGTGCAGCTTTTAGTGAGTCTGATCAGTTCCGTTCTCAACACAGCTCTACACAGAGTGATTAGGACCAGCTCTAAGCATAAGGCAAGTAACAGTCTGGGACACTGAGAAGTTTACATTAAGGTCTAAAAGGGCCTAATCCAGGGTGGGCAATAAGTGGCCCTCAAGCCAGGCACAGTTCACCATGGTTAACCCCTGGTAGGTCGCCGGACACTTTATTTACCTACATGTCCATGGGTAAGGCCACTTGCAGCTCCCATTGGCTGGGAACAATGTGCTGTGGCCAACAAAAGCTGCAAGCAGCCATACCTGCAGATGCTCAAGCCGCTTATTGTCTGGCCTAACCCTACGCTTCATTCACCAGTCAGGTGGACTGGAGGGGAAACCCAAGCAAGGCAAGCAACTGTTCAGGGCCTCCCAGAATAACCACAATGACCCACGGCGTGAACTCTTCCTTGGGGCCCCATTCCCCAACCCTGAGGAGAAGTCATTTTCTGCAACTGGACTCTAGGGGTAGAATGGGGCAGGGAAGAAAGAGCCAGAGCCATAACAAAGATGGGGCAAGCAGGGTGCTTACCCCAGGCACATCATAATCAAGAGCGCAAAGAAAGGATGTTAAATTGCATTTAATCAGTTAATTGAGTAGTTGATGGAATTTCCATCGACTACTTGATTGGTCAATAAGGGGGAAACTGCAGAGCTGCAGCAGGGTTAGCCTGCTGCAGCTCTTACTACATTTAAGAGGCAGAGGCATAGCATCTGGGACTGGGCACAAGCCAGAACAACCGAGTCCCGGCTCATGCCCGGTCTCCTGCTGCATCGTTCCTGCTCCCCCAGGTTGCTGCCTCTAATAGAGGCAGCAAGGGTGGGAGAAGTGACTAGATGAATAGTGACTTGACTACCCAAGAAGCCTAGGCTTACTAAGTAGTAAACTATTCGACTAGTTGCTTACATCCCTAGCACAAAGCGTAAAAATAATATACTGCAAAAGTAAAGAGTGCGACACATGCTAACTTAAGGAAGAGGGGGGTGCATAATGAATATTTTGCCCCAGGCACAAAAAATACCTAATTACAGCACTGGAAAGAGCAGCCCTTCAAAAAAAACCTGGGACTGAAGGAAAACTCTGTTAATTCCCAACAACCCCTGCCACCAGGATGGTGTGAGGGAAGAAACCCTCTCCTAAAACCCATTTTTACAGGTAAGGAAATTAAGGCAGAAAGAAGTGAAATGACTTGATCAAGAGAACCCAGGGTTCAGAAATCTCTCATTTGTCCAGGATGTTGGGGATTCAGAACCACTTTTGTTCACATATCATACAGGGACCATGCCCATAGCCTTAGCTGCTGGAATGGGTGGGGATAAAGGGCTGCCACAGGGATGCAGGGGGACAAAACACCCTGCCCCAGACCCTGAGGACGGAGATCGGGCTGCACCGTAGCCCCCTGGTTGGGAGATCCATACCACGGGGAGGGGATAAGGGGCCCTGCCCCACAGCCCATGCAATGGGGGGGGGGCCGTGCCACAGCCCCATGTCCGGGGGGATAAGAGACGCTGCCCCATAGCCCATACCACGGGGAGGGGATAAGGGGCCCTGCCCCACAGCCCATGCAATGGGGGGGGGGCCGTGCCACAGCCCCATGTCCGGGGGGATAAGAGACGCTGCCCCATAGCTCATACCACGGGGAGGGGATAAGGGGCTCTGCCCCACAGCCCATGCAATGGGGGGGGGGGCCGTGCCACAGCCCCATGTCCGGGGGGATAAGAGACGCTGCCCCATAGCCCATACCACGGGGAGGGGATAAGGGGCTCTGCCCCACAGCCCATGCAATGGGGGGGGGGCGGAGCCCCAGCCCCACCCGTACCACACCCTATGGCCCTGCCCCATCCATAGGCTCCGTCTCTGAGATAAGGGAAGGGCCCCACCGGAGGGAGAAGAAACCTGGGGGAGGCCCCTCACCTCATGTAGCCCGTGTCTGTGGTGATCGTGTCCCCCGGAGCCACCAGGTGCTTGTCGCTCCCTCTTGCCTGGCTCTGGCCCGCGAGCTTACGGGCCACCGGCAACCGAACCTCTATTGCCGCCATCTTAACTCCTGGCCGTTTCCTTCGGCTTCAGCGCCCGTCCGAATCAGCCGTGCCCTCCGCCATGTCTGTTACTGGCAACAGCCCGCGCGGGGAGCTGCCCTGTTGGCTTGGGGCGTCGCCATCTTGAATGAGGGCGGGACGAGCCTCAGCAGCGATGAGGCTGGGGAGGCCATATTGGATCTTGGCAGGGGAGGGGGGGATAGTCTTCGCTGCGTAGGCAGGACGAGGGTAGGGCCATGTTTAGTGTTGGCAAGCTGCCTAGGCTGTGGTGCCCTCTAGTGCTGGAGGGGAGGTGTTAAGGCTACAGGAAGATGCCTCCTCCCCTAAGAGAGGCCACATGTTGGTACTTCCCAGAGACAGTATTTCATAGGAACTCTGCATTGGGTGTATTCGCCCCCCACATCCCTATGGAGCCCACGGACCCTATACACATGCCCAACAGCAAGCAGGCGCCTGCCTGCCAAACCTTGGGGAGCGGCAAAGCAGTGTTGCCAACTCTCATGCTTTTGCCACTCGTCTCAATTCTCGTGCTAATGATTGTTTTCCTTAAAGTCCCTGCTCGGGTTGCCAGGTTTTGAACCGGACAGTCCAGAATTTGAGGTTTCTGTCTGGTAAATAAATTGAGAAAATACCAGACCTATAAATGTCCGGTATTTTCTAATCAAGTTAGTTGTATTATTATGAGTATCAGTACGTAGCTGTGTACTGCCTGGCTGGTCGACACACTCACACTGCGTGAGTCCACATTGCGTGAGTGTGTCTAGCAGCCAGGCAGTACGCAGCTACGCAGTAGAGAGGGGTCAGGGCCGGAGCGGGGTTGAATCTCCGGAGCCAAACTCGCCCGTGCACCACGCTGGGACCGTGCATGGGATGAGCAGCACCCCGGGATCTGCATGTGCCCGGGCCAGCCCCACTCCCTGCCAGCCGATTCTCTCCCCCCCCGCTTTCCCCTCCTCCCCCATCCCAGCCTGCCCTGCTTCCTGCTGGCCGGTTCTCCACCCCCCAGCTCCCCCAGCCAGCCCTGCTCCCCCCCCACCCCTTCCCGGCTGGTCCCATCCCCTCCTCCGATCTGAGATCAAGTGTGCCCGGTATTTTTTTTGTAGACATCTGGTAACCCTAGTCCCTGCTCCTTCAAACCAGATCCCAAGCACTCAACAACCCTTTCATGAGCTGTCACTGTCTACTCAGATACACAGCAGCTGTTTAACAGCTCAGAGCACTGCTAAATGGCCATGTAAGGCAGGAAGTATCTGACTCAGTGGTTCTCAACCTATTTACCATTGTGGGCCACACATGCAGCTCTCCATGTGCTACATGAGCCACATCCATGATGTATATACTACCCGTATGGCCTTGAGGCAGATGTGTACAGATTGGGATGCAAGTGGCCCATGGGGTGAACGCCACTGGTTTGACTCAAACTGCAAGAATGTATTATCTACATAATATAGAAAGGAAAAAGGATGTAATATTAAGAAATTAATTTTTACAACTAAGAAAAATCAGCTCTTTTCATTTTCCTAGCCATACTGTCACTTAGGCCAGGTCTACACTACTCCAGAAAGTCAACCTAAAATACGCTACTCCAGCTACGAGAATAGCATAGCTGGAGTTGACATTCCTTAAGTCAAATTTCTGCAGCATCCCCAGTGTAGATGGTTGATGGGAGAAACTCTCCTATTTACTTCCCATACTCCTTGTGACCCAGTGGAGTGCTGGGGTCGACAAGGAAGCTATCAGCAGTTGAATAGGCAGGTCCTTAGGAGACTTGCTAAATTGAATCCTGGAAGATCCATCTCCAAAGTCTCGATCTCAGGGTAAGTGTAGACCTGGCCTTAGGGATTTAAGAGAGAGATCATACTATGGTCATCAGCCAGTGCTTCCCATTGCATTAAGTTTAAATGCAGCACAGGCTTCCATCTGGTAAGCTAAATTATCTTCCCCACTTGAGTAGAGGGCTATATCAAACAACAGCTGTTATTATGATTAAATATTTGCACTGTGATAGCACCCCGAGGGTCCAATCAGGATAAGGTCACCATGGGGCCAGGCACTATGTAAACATAAACTGGTACATGTTCATAAGAACGAGATTGTGGTATTTCTTTCTGCGATTCTGCTGCTGTGCTGAATTACAGAGTGGGATTCTGTTTTCACCCTGAGAGCGGTGTTACTCCTAACAGCTCTGCTGTTAGAGAGAAAGAATCAAGTCCGCACATTCCAAAGTTAAGCTAAAAAGATTTGTAGACCTGATCTTGCAAAGAGAACCATTTGGTGATACCCACATGTATCCTAAGCACGGTGGACAGGAATTGATTAGGATAGCAGCTGTGCACTGCCTCTAGAACATGGTATGCTGCAAACAGGCCCTGTTCAGCATTGCAGGGCACTAGCAAATCTTGATCTGTGATCCATGGCTGTGTTTGTCTTTAAAGGCTAGTTAATTCCAGAAGGAGGTGGGAATAGTCCTGTGTACCTCTGCAGGAATTTGTCTTCATCGTCATATTCCCTTTACACCTCGGCTGTGTCTACACTGGCAAGTTATTCCGGAAAATCAGCCGCTTTTCTGGAAAAACTTGCCAGCTGTCTGAACTGGCCGCTTGAATTTCCGGAAAAGCACTGACAATTTAATGTAAAATCATCAGTGCTTTTCCGGAAAAACTATGCTGCTCCCGTTCGGGCAAAAGTCTTTTTCCGGAAAACTGTTCCGGAAAAGGGCCAGTGTAGACAGCACAGTAGTGTTTTCCGCAAAAAAACCCCGATCGCGAAAATGACGATCAGGGCTTTTTTGCGGAAAAGCGCGTCTAGATTGGCCACGGACACTTTTCCGGAAAAAGTGCTTTTCCGGAAAAGCGTCCTGCCAATCTAGACGCACTTTTCCGAAAATGCTTTTAACGGAACACTTTTCTGTTAAAAGCATTTCTGGAAAATCATGCCAGTGTAGACGTAGCTCTCTGGTAGTTAGGGCAGTGATAAAACTCCTCCACTCCTGTCTGTTTCTGGCAAGCCTTTCAATGGCTCCCAAGCTGTGCCCCATTTTTTTCAGCTCAGCTTCCACAGCCCTTTGCCATGTTGTTTTCAGACAGCCACATTTTCACTTGCCTTCAAGTGTCCATCTTATTGCTACTCTGGTGATAGAATCAGTTTCCATCTGAAGCACATGGCCAATCCATCTCCAGAGCCTCCTGGCTATGATGGTGCTTGGCTTCACGGTGTGAATAGACCTTGGTTTGAGATTGTTCTGGGTCAGAAGATATGAAAGATTGTTCGGCAGTGGGTTGTATGGAATGAAGACAGTTTGGACATGTGATACTTTCTCATCCCCCAGCATTCTTCCCGCTAAAGTAATGGTGAAAAGACGCTGCGTAGACACTTCTTGAGTTTGATTTTGGTGTTGGCATTTTGATTATTTTCTGACTGTATTTAAACTCCTGGAGGGGTTCCTGGCTTAACTGAGTCTGTTCAGATGCCCTGGCTTGTTCCTACCATCCTGGCTGATGGTGTTGCTCAAGTATGTGAATGATTCTAGATTGGTGAGAACATGATCCTCCAGCTGTACAGGTGATGGTGTGGCAATATTAAAAGTCATGATATTTGTCTTATTGCAGTTGATTTTCAGTCCAATTTGCTGGCTGAATGTGTTGAGTTGAGTTGTTTTTCTCTTGTTGGTATGCGATCAAAGAGCAAAATCATCTGCAAAGTCCACGTCTCGAAGGAATGCAAAGGGCCAGCCTATGGTGCATTCTAAAATCATAGGGAATCCCTCTCCATATAATCAACATCATCAAAAACTTCTGTTCCAACTTTATGTAACCCAGAAGCACTGAGATCACTGGGAAGGGCGAGTCAAATCCCGGATGAGCCTCTGCTTGTAGAGCTGACGAGCCCAGGTTGTCTGTAGGATTGAACCAGAGACATTAAGGGCTAAAGCCTTGGGGCTCGACCACATGAGCTAAAAAGCTATCTGGCGCTTAGTGAAGGCTGTAGAGCAGACATCACTCTCCCGGGTCAATGATTTCAGTGCCTCTGGGTTACATGTTGATCACAGAGCTCCGTTTGAAATCAAAACAGGACTATATCTGGGATGTGTCATGTCTGCAATTCCCTTCAATATTGTTACTGAAGACAAAATTGAAGAGGAGACAATTGGATAATGCAGCATACAACAGAAGATATGCCAAGAGGCATTAAATGGACACCCATCTCGTCCCTTGAAGACCTGATCTTCGCAGGTGATCTCACCCTCCTATCACATATTCAACACCATAAGCAAGGAGAAAATGGGTTCAACACACTGTGCTTGCATATCTATTAGTGCCTTGTGTCTCTGGCTCTGTGCACATGCATATGCATAAATTGTTTTTTCCATATTTTAAAACCATCATCTTTCTAGATGCAATGATGGGTCTTGAAAATAATTTATCTGGATTGAGCAGTATGCTCTGTCCAAAATGCATGAAACCGATGCTAGATTTTAAGGCCAGGAGAGAGGCTATTTTGATCATCTAGTCTGACCTCCTGTATAACAGGATCTTTTGTTCATTTCACTCAGCTACAAGCTAGGATCCTGTAAACCGTACAGGGGTAAAAGAAGCAAATTATCAATTATACCCACTAGGAGAAGCTCCACTAGCCCTTTCCCAAAACCATCATTATTCTTTCCTAGCACATACAGAGAAAGAAAACTCCCAAACGAATAACCTTCTAAATGATAAATGTTCCAAGTAATTTTTATTTAGAATACAAGCGAGAGAGGTACAAATGTATTTACAGCTGTGTACATATACCATCAAATAATATATAATATCAAAGTTTTGTAAATAATATTTTACATAAATATTTACAAAGGTAAAGTGACAATCGTTTCCTGGAAGTAAAACACGGTTTGTGAAAACTCTATACATCTTATACTTATAATTAATAATATTATAATAGGCTTTTTAAATTTTAGTTCACAAACCCCTCTTATTGGGTTCATAATAGTGACAGGACTCAAGGGGGCGCTCCGGACTGTATTCTGGGTAGGGTTTGACCAAAGGAATTACTTCTGTCTGGTCTCCAGAGGGCAGTAGAGGTAAGAGTCTAATGGACCCTACAGCTACGGCTATACGGAAGATCCAGAGGAGGACCATCCATGCAATGCGGAAGGTGGCCTTGGCAGGGTGAGCGGAGTGTGGGGCATTTCTAACCAGCCCAACTCACACGTATCCTGGAAAACTGTTTTTGTTGACACTTGGCGACTTGCTTGATTCTCCCTTTCCCGAGCATAGAATGGGGCAAATTTTCACCAACAGCCTGATGCTGCAATTGCCACTTTGCATGCCCACATGGCTGCCTGGGCGGAACCTCAGATCTGTGGACTGTGTGCAATAAACTTGTGCACAGCTTAGCCATGAGACCCGGGGCTTTGATTTTACAGGCAGGGATGAAGCCTCTTGAAGATTTTGAACTAATTTGCTTGAGTCTCTGGAAATTTACAAGAGATTCTGCCCACTGGTGCTGCTAACTGTGGCACAGTGGACCAGCTGGGCATGGAACATAGTGGGTCAGCTGAACTGGCATGGGGACCAGCTGGGGGTCTAGCATGGACGCCAAACCAAACAGACATGGGGGCAAGAATGGAGCCTGGCCCCGTGATCTTTATCCATACTTTGCCTCCTCCAACACTTACATCAGAATAGGGTTTGTACATTTCCCCAGTGCAGACACAGCTTGGAGGCCAAAATTTCCATTGGTGTAAGCAGGCACAGCAGCATTGACTTCAACAGAATGGTGCCCACACCCAACAAGCAATGACTCCGGCCTTCCAGCTGTACTAGCTTAAATAGAGAGGAAAGCCATTTTTGTTCCCTCCGTCCAACTGAATGAAACACAAAATCCATTGGAAAATGTTTCCCAAATCAGCATTTTGGCTCTTTCTCCCCCACCGCATATACTGGAGTCTTCATATTAGAGTTCATGTTATTTTTAATTCTCGGTGGGTTTATCCTCCTAAATGCATTTATGCCACTCATGGCCTGATGCCAAACATCAGGGATAACAAAGCTTATCACACAGCCTCCTCTAGGGCTGGAGCCCTGATGCTCCCTGCCCCAGACTGATCAGCTGGGAGAATGGATCATGGGGCTGGGACCATGTCACACACGAAGCCCCAAGGGAATGGCAATGCTCTAACAGAGGTGGCACTTTGTCAGCAAACTGTTTAATTAAGAAATTGGCCTTGACCCCCGTCCTCACTGCCTCTGCCCCCCTCACTGCCTCTGCCCCCCTCCCCCTTCCCGAAGGGCTGAAGCCAACAAATTCCTCAGCGTTATCAGTGCCAGTCTCTGACAGCTGGAAAAGGCTGCCCGAGAGCTGGCATTTCAAGAGCAGCTCACAGCACCATGGTAGGTATGTGATGTGCCAGGGAGGCAGGGTGGGGCCCGGGCAAGGCTGGGGAGTGAGACTGCAGGGAGGCGTTGGGAGGTCGGTGCCTGGCGCTCTTCTGGTGAGCCCGGAGTCCAGCGAGCTGGGAGTAAGCACTTTGGCACACCTGGCACTTGTAGGGGCGCTCGCCGGTGTGCAGGCGCACATGGTTGCGGAGCGTGGAGGACTGACTGAAGCGGCGGTTGCAGAAGCGGCAGACAAAGGGTTTGTCCAGTGTGTGGATGCGCATGTGGGAGCGCAGGTTGCTGCGGGAGTTGAAGCCGCGGTGGCAGATCACGCACCGCATGCGGCCGGCCGTGCTGGCGCCGGTCTCCACCGTGTGGAAGTCCTCTGCGGAACAAAGAGCGGCACAAGCAGTCAGCCACTGCCCTCTGCTCTGCAGCCAGAATGGGACTGCCTGGCCTGAGTGATTCATCCCCTTCCTCGCGCCTGTATGGTGACTTCATGGCACTAGGCATTCTCATGGTTACGGCACAATGGCTTTGTCTACACTGCAGGGTTTTTGTGCAAGAAGCTTTTTGCGGAAGAGATCTTCTGCAAAAACTTCTTGCGCAAAAGCACGTCCACACCTCAAAAGCGCATTGCAAAAGCGATGTGCTTTTGTACAAGAGAGCGTCCACACTGCATGGACACGCTTGCACAGGAAAGTTCTGATGGCCATTCACAAAATGGCCATCAGAGCCCCTGTGCTTTTTGTGATAGATTCTTTTTGCACAAGAAACCCCTGTTGAGTGTCCACACACACCTTTTTTGCACAAGAATTCTTACACTAAAAGGAGTATGCCTCGTAGAAGGAGGTATACCTACACCGCAAAAAGCCCTCTGTTCTGTTGATTGTAGATTTTCTTGCACAAAAATGTGCTTGAGGTGTGGGCGCTCTGTGGGTTTTTGAACAAAAACCCTGTAGTGTAGACATAGCCTTTCAATAAAGAGAGAGGCACCTTGGTGCATGGTGGCAAGATGGGACAAGCTCAGTAGCAATGCCCCTGCAGCAGGTAATGACTTGATAATGAATAGCCATCGTTACAGCAAGCACTGTGCAACCCCACTGCATCTGCCAGCCAAAGATCGCCAAGCACTTTGCAGGCACTGACCAGTTAAATCTCTCAGCCCCCTGAGTGCTTTGGGGATAGGAGCCAGGTGTCCAATGTCTTAACCACAAGCCTTCCTTCATGCAGGGCCGGCTTGAGCCATTCCTGCACCCCGGGCAGCGGGCGCACGATTCATGCGTGGCTCTGCCCCTGGGCGCACGGCGCATGCGTGGCCCCGCCTCCCGGCGCGCTGCACACCTTACAGCTGCAATCGGGCGCACAGCAGTTTTAAGGGGCGCCGCGCAGACCCCAGCCCCGGGCGCACAGCGCCCCTTACAGCTGCCATCAGGCGCCCCCCAGGCTGGCGCCCTGGGCAGCTGCCCGCCTAGCCTCCCCCTTAATCTGGCCCTGCCTTCATGAGGGTTGAGTCAGCAAAGCAGGCAAGCAGCTGTGTCCTGTCTTTGAGACGTGGGCCTGTGCAGTGCTAAGCAGTCTCTACAGGCCTGGGCCAGGCAACGCCTTAAGACAATAGTTTAGATTCAAATCGTGGCTGGGCGTCAGAAGGAAATAAGATGTGTGGTTTCCATCTCGCCCTTCTTAGGATGTTTGTTCACTTCCCAGAGCCACTGCCCCCTCCATGGTGCTGCTCTGGAGGAGTCCACGGGTAGAACAGCAGGGAGCGGGTGTTGCAAGCCAGATCTGGGGGCAGGGAGCAAGCCTGCATCACACCTGGCAGCACTTTCAAAGGTGCGTGCACCCCAGCCTCCCACACTCACAGAGCAATGCCAATGCCTTGTTGGGGGGCAGGGCTTTGAAAGGAGCCGCTGCCCATGGAATTCCCAGCGCACCAGCTTAGGGGAATCCTTGATCTCGTTCTGTATGGGTGGAGAACGCTTCCTCTGCCCATCCAAGCCCTGCTCTCCCTCACAGCAAGTCCATGGCTGCACATGACCTGCTCTTCCTCCCATGGACTCAGATCATTCACAGCCATCCCCTCCTCTGGAAACTGCACAGAACCGTAGCAATGCTGGCCAGGGCTGTCTAAAGAGCTCTGCACCTGCAGCTGGGGCCAGATTTTCAGAAACGCTCCTGCTAGGTGCACACAGGCAGCTGAGGTTCTAGGAAAATCTGGCTGGCTCACGGTGCAGGTTGAGCCCTATCGGCAATCGAGTTGCGGTTGTGTGGCCTGAGCTCTTCTGCAGCCCTGATCCCATGCACATATGGAGGGTGTGAAAAGCAGCAGAGCTGCAGGATGGGAGGGTGAGAGTGAGGAGGGGAAGTGGGGCAAACCCGCCTCTTCTGCTCAGGATCTATAATGCAGAGCTGGCAGGAGCGTCCTTTTTAAGGCCACTCAGAGCAGGCTGCATGCAGCTCACTCCTTTCCTCAGTGCTATGTTCTAGAAACTGTTGCCCTCCCACCCCTTGCATTCTGCAGCCTGTTGGACCTGGACCTCTAAGGGTACATCTACACTGCGGAGCTATTACCGGACACTGGAAGTCTCCCGAAATAGCTATTCCATGTCTATTGAAGCAGCCCATTATTTCGAAATAGATTTAACATGGAATAGATTTCGAAATAACGGGTGGCTTATTCTGGCGTCCCGGTAACCCTCGTTCCACACGGGCTAAGGGGCATTTCAGAATAGAGAGTTATTTCAAAATGTGGCACCAAATTACAAAAGAAGCTATGTCGAAATACACTCGACATAGCGCAAATCGCAAAACTTATTTCACACTAAGGGTACGTCTAGACTACATGGCTCCGTTGACAGAGCCATGTAGATTTGTTTGTTCGGCAAAGGGAAATGAAGCCGCGATTTAAATAATCGCAGCTTCATTTAAATTTAAATGGCTGCCCCACTCTGCCAATCAGCTGTTTGTCGGCAGATCGGGGCAGTCTGGACGCTCCCCTATTGACATAAAAGCCCTTCATCGACCTCTCCGGTAAACCTCATCCTACGAGGCATAACGGGGAGGTCGATAAAGGGCTTTCAGGTCGGCGCGGGAGCATCCAGACTAGCACGCTGAGCCGACAAACAGCTGATCAGCTGTTTGTCGGCTCAGCGCAGCAGCCATTTAAATTTAAATGAAGCCACGATTATTTAAATCGCAGCTTCATCTCCCTCTGCCGATCAGCCTAATCTACATGGCTCCATCGACGGAGCCATGTAGTTTAGACACACCCTTAGGGCGCTGTGTAGACACACTCTAAAATCCCTTATTTCTAGTTCATTCGCTCCAGTTCCCTTCTCCATCTGTCCCACAGGCAATGGCAGAACAAGTAGAAATGGAATCCCAGACAAGTTAAAGGCCCCCTGGCACGGGATCTTGGGAGAACAGGGGTTTGTGTGGGATTAACGAAGGGGTGGCTGGATAGCTCTGGGAAATCAGTGACTTGGCAATGAGCCTCCGCTATAGTCAGCACTTTCTCTTCCCGGCTGCCTGGCTGCTCCACTCCCCAGACAGGGAGCCTCCCCCCCATGTGGCAGCGATGAACGAAGGCCTCTCTCACTGCTGCACGGGGCTGCCCTTCGGCTTTATGGGGCCCAATGCAGTACTATTAAACAGACGCCCCTATGCTGGATAGCAGTCGGGGGGAGGGGGATTTTTTAGAGATGTGATTTTATAATCTTCAGCAACACACTAAGGAAATATTTTTAAAGCAAATTTTAAACTAAGGTCCTGTCAACACACAGTACTTCAGAAACTGACCGTATGTACCCAGGGCTGGCAAATGCCCGTTAAATGGCTTTGTTGCCCCTTGAACGGCTCTTTCACAAGTTCTGGCAGCCCCTTGCTACTTTTAAGTTATCTAGATCCTCTCTGGGGGGAAGCAGAGTCACAGAACAGGGATAGGAAGAGGCCGGTGGATGGACACTATGACCCCCATGGTGCCCCCAGTTTTAAGGTGCCCCACACAGCTGCATATTCTGTGTCTGGGTAAGGCAGGCTCTGCTGCTGGATTTGGGCCACAGGCTATTCGGGATGGCTGGCCTTAGGAACGCTGCAGGCAAAGCTGTGATGGCCCTAGGAAGTCAGCATGGGAAGGCAATGCTAAAACTCACTGATGTCTCTGGCATAATTTCAGAGGAGCCTCTTGATCCTGCTGAGCTAAGAAGCCTTCATTCTATAGCGGGGCTCAGGAGGATCCCAAGAAGAAAAGCACAGCACCCGCCCTGTCCGCTGTGGGTGCTTTGAGGACCTCCATGGAATAAAGTGCCAGCTTCCCCACAGCCCCCCAGGTGAGGCAAACAGGAGAGGATCCAGGTCTTGTGAGCCCCCACCCCCTCACAAGCCAAGCGACAGCCAGCTCAGCTGGTGGGCATAGACGGGCCAGGGGATGACAGCAGATGTGCATTTGTGAAGGTCATAGTCCTATCAAGGGCTACATACCATGCTTGTTCTTCTTCTGTTCCTCCTCCAAGCCCGGCACACCCGGAATCCCCAGGAAGGTATTGTGGGAGTTCCCATACCAGACCAGCAGTTCTTGGTCTGGTGGAATCATCTGCAGGGAAAAGAAACACAAACAGGGTGAGGGTGAGAATAGATCGTTCTGCTTGGTGTGGTCTGGTGGAATCATCTGCAGGGAAAGGAAACACAAACAGGGTGAGGGTGAGACTAGATCGTTCTGCTTGGTGCCTCCGTGATGCTGGGGCCAGAGGCTTCTGCCAGCTTCCCCACAGCCCCCCAGGTGAGGCAAACAGGAGAGGATCCAGGTCTTGTGAGCCCCCACCCCCTCACAAGCCAAGCGACAGCCAGCTCAGCTGGTGGGCATAGACGGGCCAGGGGATGACAGCAGATGTGCATTTGTGAAGGTCATAGTCCTATCAAGGGCTACATACCATGCTTGTTCTTCTTCTGTTCCTCCTCCAAGCCCGGCACACCCGGAATCCCCAGGAAAGTATTGTGGGAGTTCCCATACCAGACCAGCAGTTCTTGGTCTGGTGGAATCATCTGCAGGGAAAGGAAACACAAACAGGGTGAGGGTGAGACTAGATCGTTCTGCTTGGTGCCTCCGTGATGCTGGGGCCAGAGGCTTCCTTAGACAACTAGGGCAAAATTCATCTCTGCTGTAACTCGGGGGTTACAGCAAAGAGAATCTGACCAGGGGAATCAAGAGTGACTCTACGCGGATCCCTGGAACTGAGAGGTAAAAGACAGGAATTATGGCACATGATGGGAACTGTATGTGACTCAGATCCCTAGTTCCAATATCCTGCCCGTGCACCTAGTGGAGGCAGACACACAGCCCACAGACTGGAGCCCATGCACCTAGTGGAGGCAGACACACAGGCCACAGACTGAGCAGCAGCCACAGCAAAACAGACCGAGACTGAGTGCGACACATTGACCTGACACCTCCCTCTGGCTTTGGCAACAGGACAGTGGTGGCCTTAACTTAGTGTCCTCGGCTGAGACCAGAGCCCCATTGTGCTAGGTGCTGTACTTACACAAAAGAAAAGACACTCTTTGCCCCAAAGAGCTTACAGTCTATAGAGAAAGAAATACAAACGGAGGGGGGAAACTGAGGCAGGGTGCCATGATCCAGTGCTGCTCCTAAACATTTTGCCCCAGATTCTCCCTCGTGCTGAGATCTGCTCTTATGGGAGAGGAGGAGGGAGATCTATCAGGTCTGGCTCTGTGCTGGGCTGAGCTGAGGGGCTGCTCTATCTTACATCAGCTGAGCTATGGCAGAGCACAGCTCTTCTCTGCTCCCATCAAGCCCCCTAACTACCACCAAAGGAGCCAGTGGGTGGGAGGGAGGTGAGGAGAGAAACACCTGCTGGGGCTTTTTAACCAAGGATGTGGCTCAGATAGGAAGTGCTTGGGTTGCCCAGGGCATGGCCAGAGAAAAGGCTTGTGCATCTGTTAAGGGGCAGTAGGTCTGGTGGGAAGATGGGTCTAAATCGGGGGGGTGGAACCTTTCTTGGGTCAGGGGCCGCTGACCCACAGAAAAATCAGTTGGGAGCCACACACAAATGAGAAACAAAAAAAATAAAAATAAAAACCAAACCCTCAGGCTGTGTCTAGACTGCATCCCTTTTAAAATAAGGAATAAGGGATCTTTCGGAAAAGGCTTTATTTTCCGAAAGAGCCGCATCTAGACTGGCGCTTTTTTTTGGCAAAGCTGTGAGCCGGAAAAAAGTGGCAGCCATTTTTATGCAAATGAACCGGGGGGGGATTTAAATCCCTGCTTTATTTGCAATTGCGATGTGTCTGATTTGCATCCCTTTTACGGAAAAGGGATGCAGTCTAGACACAGCCTCAGTGGCGTGGGCCCCAACTGAGAAGGAGAAAGACGCTCCGCACATTCCCCTCAGACACTGGAGCCTAGGCAGCCCCAGGCTAGTAGATTTTGTGTGCTCCAGCCCCACAGGGACAGCTTGGAGCCCCAGCGTGGGCTCCCCAATGCTGAGGAGGAATTCCGAGTCTTGGGGGCCAGATCCAAGCAAGCCAGGGGCCAAATCCAGCCCCTAGGCCTTAGGTTCCCCACTCCTGGACTAAATTCTCCTCAGATTCTAAACTCTTGGGGACAGGGGCAGGCTGTTAGTTCTATGTTCATACAGCACCCAACGCAAGGAGCTCCTGGACCATGGCATTACAGCAATAATACACAACACTAAAGCAAGGCCTTGGATTTCCACAGCATGTCAGTGCAACAAGTGGAGTCTTGGGCAGCAGCCACAAGGACATTTAAGAAGCAAGGTTAGAAAGCTTCTTTCTTGCATTATTTATTTTGGTGTTTACGTCAGTTTATTTTCCTTTATCCTTCATTTTTTCCAATGTGTCTCAGGTTTGGGGGAGAACAGTGTAAATCTGCATTGTAGAGCTCAGGAGACCATGGGGGATTTTTGTACCTGGGAAGCTGTTTGAAAATGTAGGGTAAGCAAATCTGCTAAAATTACCCATCAAGAACTAATTAATCTGCTTGGCATTTATAGGGGTGTTGTTAGGTTTCAGAATCAACACCCAACGGAGTGGAATGAGGCAATTTACACTGGTCAGAGCTGCTAGTTCGGATTGTCAGACGTTGTTACACTGAATCGCACCTGCTTCATGCTTTAAGGTTTTCTTTGCAAATCGTGTGTTAGAGATTTAATTCTGGAGCACAATTTTGCAGCCACAGAATCACTGAATACACAGGGACCTACTCATATTGGCCCCAGTTCAGCAAAGTACTTGAACAGGCTTCTAACTTTAAGCATATGAGGAATCACTCTATAAATAAAGGGAGTTGCCCTTAATTTATGCACTTGCTTAATGATGAATAGCTGTCTCTCAGAGGGGTTGAATAGTATGAACTTGGAAATAAAGTGTAGGTGTCACATTCTGGCTTGCAGTCAATCATTTTCCATCCCATTGAAGATTAAAATAAATAAAAGAGAAGGGGTGAACTTAAGGGCGTGTGTATTACACAGTGCATATGCACTGGTGTGGATGAGAGCTGACAGGTGTGTGTTAGTGCAGAGAAATGTGTGCAAATATGTGCACGGAGGCAATCAGGATCACTCCCATGAATCTCACAGCTTTCAGCTGGAAGGTTAAAATGTGCTGCCTCAGTTTCTGCAGCTGAGGAAGATAATGAAGGATGAGAAAGGGCGGGGGAAGGGAAAAAGCAGCAGGAGCTGAGGTAAACAAAAATGTTAAGAATAAAGGTAATGAATTATAAAAATGCCACCAGTAAGCCTGCCTGGGAGAGAGGAGGAGGGACAGAGAGGCTTTGGGTCATTGCTGGAGTTGGTTTAACTGTGTGGGAGATGTTCAGGCATACAGCAATGTAGTTGTCATGAAAACACACTGTATGTCTCTGTGTGCTGGGAAAAAGCAACAACACGAGTGTGTCCTAGTGTGTGTACACCCATGGAAAGAGCACAAGATGTGGGGGTGAGAGAGAACGGAAAGAGTATGCGTGCACACAGATGAGAGAGATGCAGTGTGCTTAATTAGCTGTATTTTTGAGTATATCACTGCTTTTTCTAGCCTCGCATCCCACATCTGCTGGATTCCTGCGAAATGGATGTTCTTTTTTAATGACACATAATCATCTATGAAAGCATTGCTCTCCATGGTACTATTGCAAAGATTAGATCACCGTTTAGAGAGCAGAAACTCTATCATTAAGGATTAGGGGCCCAATCCTGCTGCCTTTATGGGATTAGCCCGAGGGTCTATTCATGAGAGTCAAATCTACAAGACTGGGCTCTTACTACCATCTCCAGACAGTCACTCTGTGCTGAAAATTATCACTCAGAACCTTAGTCGTGGAATTCATTTTTATTTTAAACCCACAATTGGATTTTGTGATGTTCCCAGAGGGGTTCGAATGATTCACTGCTCTGAAAAAACAAGGAGTCCTGTGGCACCTTAAAGGCAAATAGATTTATTTCAGCATAAGCTCAGCAGAAACCCACTTCATCAGAGGCATACAGATTGCATTCATCTTTAAGGTGCTGCAGGACTCCTCGTTGTTTTTGTAGGTACAGACTAATCCAGCGACCCCCTCTGAGACTTGTCACTGTTTTGAGACACTTTATTTGTGCTTCAGTAATTCAACCATAGCTTTGATGTAAAGGGTATGGTGAGTGAGTTGTACCTGCATTTGGAATTTCAAAGGGGGAAAAAACAGGCAAGGTATCAAGGGTCATTCAGTACCTATGCATGGACAGAGTGTTTGCACTAAATAACCTATATTTAGTAAATGGGCTTCGGTACGGTGGCAGAATAGAGACAATGGCTGTAAAAGATATGGCAGATCCACCCTCCTCTAGCGGGTTCTTCAGAGGGATTCTAGGGATGTAGATAAGTAGATCAGAGTAGATGTGGCCCACTGGGTGAAAATCCATTTCTCATATCCCTTCCCACAAACCGATACTCAGTAAATAGTGACCCCAATGCAGGCTGATCCAACATTCTTTGTGACACCCTTCCCCCCAACACCTAATGATTTCAGGCAGAATAAACAGAGTAATAGGAGCCAATTTCAGAGCGTGATCACCTGTGGTGCTGTGCGTGTGGATTGTGACTGGGCATGGGATGCTGGAGTGAGGGAGGAATGCAGGATCGGGATCTAAGACCCAGCTGTTAACATCTGTTCTCTTACATTTCCAGGACATATTTGATTTCCCTCCCTCCAAACAAAATTCATAATTAACCCCATCTCCATCTCTCCCTGCTGAGTGATCCTAGTGATCCTGCTTTATTTAATTCACTAGGAGTAGGAACAGACTCATGTCAAGCTCCTGCCTCACATACCAGTCAATGTCTGGATCCCGGCAGGTGCCACAGTGGGATGGACTGCTGGGTTTAACTGGGACATTTATTTCCTTTGTCAATTGGAATCACAAACTCTTCCATTATTTTAACTTAGTTTTTTAGGGTTTTTTTTTTTTTTTTGTGATCTAAAAGAACTGAACAATAGCGTTCTGATGTTTGTAGAATCATGGATTCAGACATATGAGAAGCATGAACTGTGTTTTACTGTATATCTGTATTAGGCATTATATACTCATGTAACTATCTTCATTCACACACAAACATATTAGAGACAATCTAAATATAATAGATCTCTGTTTTAAGGATTATCTGTATTATATTATTATTATTCTATTATACTATTTCACCTTGCAGTATAAAAACAATGATTAAAAGCAATTAAATATCTTTTACTGTGAGCCACCTTTCCTGCAGCTTGTCCAGAGGAATAAGGAATTTTGGATCAGCTCTATGTAAAAACCTGATCTGTAATTTTTCCATTAGGCAAACAAACCCTCGTGTAAGGAATGTTACGTGATAAAAACACTTAGCACTCATGTGTCCTGGATTTACACAGGTGAGCTGTGTACGGTTCCTAGCATGGGGCAGTGCCTTCACTTCAGAAAGCGGGTTACAAATGCCCAAGGTGCCTGCCACAGAAAAGGAACAATTTTTTCTCTTTCTGTACCAGCCTATTTGACTTGGGCAAATTACAGGCCAGAATGTGCTATTCCTATGTTGGCAGAACTCCTATCAGAACTCAGGGGGAGTTTTACCTGCCTATGGGGTGCAGAATTGGGACCCAATAATTTTTTTGTATTTCACATTGCAGGGGATGATCTGTAAGGTGCTGGGGATGATGGTCACCACCCAGCAAAGCATGTGCCTCAACTTTAGGAGCATTCAAGGCCCTAAAACTTCAAAGGTACCGTGCACAGGCGTATAGCACTTAAGTGTTCTGCTGGTTGGGAACCAAAATGCTCGGCAGCACACAGGGAGCCCCTTGCACGTTCCCTTGCACTAGCGTGCGACTGTCCGACCCCAGATCCCTGGCACTGGCTTTGTTGGCCACATGTGGCAAAGCGCAACACAGTGAGTGCAGGCTCATATTCCTCTCCCAGCTAAGAGAGCCTCGTCTCCTGCGCCAGCACTCCTGTTCCTGGAGCATTTGTTCTTCTAGACCCACAGCTGGAGAGTCATGCCAGAGCCAATCTGGCCATGATAGGCAGGTGGATTCAGAGACATTCTCACCTCTGCCCCGCTCTGCCATCTGAATTGTAATACGGCCCATATTGGGCTCTTCGTCATCCAGCATCCTAAATGTGGCAGCCTTGGAGTCCAGCAGCTTGCGGAACTGACTTACAAAGGCTTTGGAATGCACCTAAACTGGGCCGGGGGTGTGGGACATGCTGCCTTCAGCTCTGATATTGTTAAGTGCTCACAGGCCTGCCTGTGCATCCCACTAGCACTGGTTGGTTCTGTCGCTTGGGCAGCCTGGCTCGTGAGGCTGTACCCTGCAGGCAGGTTTTGTGATAGAAGATGAATAGCCCTAATCTCTCCATGCCACTGTATATTGTGGTGCTTCCGGGAAGCAGGATCGGGGCCCCATTGTTTTGGGCACCGCACTATTGCTGATGAAAAGTCGATCCCTGCCTCAAAGGGCTGACCTCCACTAACCAGAGATTTGGGCTTGCCCAATGCCGTAAATTGCACTTCTGGGAGCCTGATCCTGCACCTCTTTAGCCAGTCAACACGCCCACTGAAGTCAATGGGTATTTTGGCTGAATCGGGACTTGCAGGAGCAGAGATCTGCCTCGTTAACTTGTATGCCCAATGCTTTAATTTTAACAAGAACGTAACCAATACGTTTTAGGTTAACCCTACCTGATTCTGAATTGGCCCAGGCACAGACCCTGAAGCAGGCTCAATTAGAGGCAATGGCAGAATCGTGTCCCCATTAGAGGCAATGGCAAAAGTCGCATGGACTTTAGTGGGAGAAGGAACAGACCCCTAAGGTTTAACATCTCAGTCCTCGGCACAGTCCTCCAGCAGGAAGAAAGCCCAAGTCTTCTTTCTTTTCTCTCTCCCCCGCATTTCCTGCACACCCACATGTACTCTCACACACGTGTGCACACATACGCGCGTGCACTATGGATCAAGACTGAACTGAAATGGAAGGAAAAGAAAAATCCCAACGCCCCCTCCCTCCCCCACAAGCACATGCAATGGCAAGTGCACCGAGCCGCCTGCCAAACTCCGTTCTCACGGGCACACGTGTCATTCTCAAACAATGCCACATTGATCCCTGCTGTTCTCCAGAAGGCCTTGATGCCAACATTTCTCCCTGATGGCAAAATCCCCCCTCTGCAAGCCGCTAATCTCTTCCCTGCTGCCTGAACTAGCCCCGGAAGACGGAGTCCCGACAACCAAGGAAGGACGCGTGATATGGAGAATGCCACTTCCCTGCTCCTCTTCCCCGGCTTCTCCCCAGCCTCACTTACCTCAATGGCCTTGTAGAATATGCTGTTCCCAATCTGGATCACTTCCAAGTTCTGCTCCTGCTCATTCCTGGCACACTTGATGTAGGTCATCCAGCTGCGGTGGTCTTCCTGGCTGGCGTCGATGAAGTAGCGGACCGTGCCGTCTTCATTGAAGACCTAGGGTGACGAGCAAGGGCGTGGTACATGAAGAGCTTCGTGGCTGAATGCACTGCCCCAGTCCTTCCAGCCAGCTCACACAGGGATGACCCAGGGTCTTGTGTGATGCTGGGAGAAGTCAGAGGCCTCAGGAGATGCTCAACCCTGGGGCAATGTGGCAGGTTTGTAGCAGTGGGAGGGTGTGTTACTTGTCACGGCAGGGGATGGGGTTAATTAGCTAAGGGGGCAATAGCTAGGAGAGGTTGTCAGGTGTCGGTAGCTCCTCTTGCAAGGTGGAGAGGCTCGGGGAGGGCCATAGGAAAGGTAAATCCTGGGCATGGACAGGCAGGGCTGAGTGCAGACCTGGCCCATGGAGTCTCCTCCTCAAGACAGCTGTGTCTGACCAGTGCAGGAGGCAGGAAGCAGTCCTGAAGCCCCGTGTGCCAGGGCAGGCAGGGGAGAGTGGAAGCAGTGAGC